CGCCTCCTCCCCCAAAGAAGTGAACAGTCCAACATATTGAACTCGATGGGTCAGTAATTAAAACCTACTGGAAAGCTGCCACGCTCAGAGACTGGAACCGCTCCAGTTGCAGGCGGTGATTGGTTCCAGCAGGACCCCGCTGACCGACGGCAAGTACGTATTGGCTGTACGTTTGGGTGTGGTGAAAACACTATCAGATTCGCGGAACGCACCGATCTTGCCGTTTTCACGGTAGATAATTTATTTCTTTGTTGGTCGTGTAGTAGAGCTCCCTCTTCTCCATACCGGTCAGCACGATTCTGCAGCAAGCTCGTGTGCGTGCCTGTACGGTTAGTATCCTTTTCAGACAGTGCAGATTCGTTCCCTCTTCCCCGAGCTCTTCCCCAAAGTGCACTTGGTTATCACAACCTAACCTCCTTCCATTTTTCAGTGCGCGGCTGGTGCGCTTGTGCGCTGGTGCGCTTGTGCGCGGCGCGTGTCTTGGGAGGCGTCTTCACAACAAAGAGGCTCTGCTATCTCCTTCCGCCCCGCCCCGCCCCGCCCCGCCCCGCCCTCAATCTCCCATCAGATTCTTTTGCAAAAAGAGAACAGGAAGTGTGTTTTCATTATTTCCCAGAGGGTATCGATGGGGCAGGCGGATGCCAGGGGCTCAGGGAAGATCCATTGCCGCCGACATTTTACTCTGTGCGAAAAATCCTTTCCTCCCCTCCGAATTCACTTTGGTAAAACTCACGTGAACAAATGTTGCACACGTAAGAGTGCAACTTGGGGTTTTGAACAGTGTCGGTTTGATACAGAAAAGACGCAGGTGCGGGCGGGTTTGCCTACCCAACGGGCTTATACGGCGCGAATTTTCAATTCCATTTTCGAACTGAAAAAAATGGTTTCATCGTTAAACTAAGGTCGGAGAACCGAGTATTCCTTATACCTAGATGGCTCGCATTTAACTTCTAGTTCCGTAAATTGTGATTCCATTTCACATGTTAAATCCGGTCCGGAGACAGGGTTGAAAATACCTGGACTCATCAAGTCCCAAGAGCACAGAAGCATTCTCAATACTCAGCGGCCGCAGACGGTCTCTAACAGAGTTGAGGACACGCCCGTCCGCCGAGTTCCACTGAAATCCCTATGAAGGGGCTTCAGCAGCAGAGGCACTCGCCGCTCGTCCGACGGCTGGTCTGATTGTCGAACCGACAGAATCGAGACCAACAATGGCGGCCGGCGGCCGCCGGGCGGGCCCCCTCCCCTCCCAAAACTGCTGCTGCTCAATTCCCGAATCTCACAAATAACTTAACTTCGCTCAGGTTTGAAAACAAAAACTCTCCCCGGGGGGATACTGCTGTTTGATTACTTTTCTAACAGCGCGACCGCTACCTGTGGAGCCGAGCCCCCGGCCCCTTCACTGATTGGCTCTCGGGTCCGTTCCGGAGGCGAGGAGGGTATTACATTTTGGCAAAGGTCGGTGCGACGATCAGGCCAGACCAGACCAGGTACACTCGAGCCATTACCAGGGGCCCTCCAGTGAGCCGTGCGGTGGGCTGCTGCCCTGCAGCGCTCGCAGAATCAATAATCCTCTCTCTCTCTCTCTCTCTCTCTCTCTCTCTCTCTCTCTCTCTCTCTCTCTCTCTCTCCCCCCCTTCCCTCTTTGCGAACAGGTGCGAATCAGGATCGGGTTGGACGAGTCAGGATGGCCGAACAGCACTTTCCGGCCGGAAGCTCCGGGAGCAGGCGGCCGTCGTCGGAACCCCCGGAAGTGGAGAGTGGAGAGGGGTCGGGGAGGGCCGGGACCGGGAAGGGCGAGGCGAGCCAAGAGCCGGATGGATTGAAGAATGAGTCGTCTCACTCCGTCGCCCTGGAGGACATCGGACCCTTCGACTCTTCGTCCTTCAGCGCGGTGGTGGAGGTGCCGCTGATCCCCTCCGACGTGGTGCTACCGGAAGCGGAAACGAGCCGCCCGACCGAGGAGGGGCGACCGGAAGTGACCGGGGAACAGCAGGGTACGGCGGCGCGCATACCCGTCGTGGGCCAGTGTAGCGCTCTACTGACCCTTGCGTGATTTCAGAGGACGCCGGGCTCATCGACGAGACCGCGGATGTGGCCGACGAGAGGGTGGCGTCCACGTCCCTGACGGACATCAAGGACATCACCGACCTCTGGGTCGCGACAAGCTTCGAGGGCGAGGTCGCCGCTGAAGACGACGGTGCCGAAGTCCAGGAGGGCCTGGAGGACCAAGAAGACCAGGGGGATCATGATGTGCAGGGCGACCAAGATGTCCAGGCGGACCAGAAGGACGCGGGCGGCGAGGCCCCGAGGCCATCCCCGGCGTCCAGCGAGGGCGACGACGCGCTGCAGCAGCACGACGAGCGCCTGTCGCACAGTTCCTCGTCTAGCGTCGTGGACGTGGACGCCAGGATCGCGACGCAGAACGCGGGCCCCCCGCCCGAGCGGCCCCGCCCGGACACCCACGGCATCCTGGACAAGACCGTCTGGCGGGACCCCGAGGCCCAGGGGCTGCGCGAGGAGCTGCATGGCGGCTACTACTTCCCGGACCAGGCGGCCGACTCCAGGCGGCTGTCGGCCGAGGTCGAGGAGGTGCCGCACTGGGACCAGCAGATAGAGCCCCCGAAGGACCTCTCCGTCAGGATGTCGGCCTCCTACATTATCCTACCACGGCTCAGAGTGGTTAGTGTTCCTGCAGGGGAGGAAGGGGTAAGGGGTGGGGGGCGCTGGGACAGCTTGACCTCTAGGACACCTGCAGGACCAGCCGCAGCAGACGGTGTCTGCTGGTCGCGGCCCCGGAGGGGGCTTCGTCCCCTCCATCGAAGTGGTCGAGGAGCACGCCGACGAGGACGGCTCCATGCTCGTCATCAAGGACGTCGACCGAGGGTCCACGTCGCCGAACATGCAGCTACTGAGCCCTCTGCTGCCCGGGCCAGACGTCTCCTCGGAGCGCACCTCCAAGGTCGAGTTCAGCTCCAGCCTCGGCGTCGTCATCGACGAGGGTGAAACCAAGGAGGAGGAGGAGGTCGTAGACGAGGTGGCCGTCGACACCGCGACAGCCGAGGCCTCATCCGCCGTCAGCGTGGTGGTGACTGAGGCCGAGGAGATCAAGGGCGACGAGCCCAAGGCCACTTCGAGCGCGGCGGCCTCGGACACCACGGCCTTGCAGACGGAGATCGAGATCGAGGAGGAGGTCGCCAGTCTCATGGCGGAGATCCTGGAGGCTTGTCCGTCTGCTGCAGGCAGCGCTGCGGCGGTGCGGCAGTACGAGGTGCGCGGCAGAGGGCGTGGGGGAGGGGGGGGGGGCTATGCCCAGCCTAACGTCCGCCGGTAGTGCAGGTGGCGGTGCGCGCCCCGGTCGATGAGGACAGGGCCAAGGACGACGTCCTGGTGGAGTTCACCACCTCGACCGGCAAGTTGTTCTCCAAGGTGTACAAGATCTACTCCAACATGCTGGAGGTCAAGGAGGACCTCGCGGCCTTCTTCTGCTGCCCGGTGACGGACGTGGCGCTGGACACGAGCGTCGTGGAGATCGACGACAGCCTGCCGCTGGCGGGGGCGGGCGTCGAGAGTCACGACGTGCGCCTCCGCATCCGGGTGTCCCGCCGCCCCAAGCCCTTCCTGGGCGGCTTCAGGGACTCGCGCTCGGGCACCGAGTTTCACCACGCCGAGTCGCAGACGGGGCCGCCCGCCAGGGACACCTCGGACAGAGTGTCCAGAGACGCGCAGACCGTCCGGACGCGGCGCAGGCGCGTGCACACCCCGCACGAGAAGGCCACGCAGGTGAGACCTCCGCGCGCATCCAGGTCGCCGTCAGTCTCCGGTGACACGCGGATATGCGCAGGTGCCGCGGCCGGGCCTGTACATCCCGGGCATGCCGGAGCACGTCCTCATGGCGGACCCGGGGCGATACGTGCCCGCCGACGAAGCGCTCGAGCGGCAGCGCGACCTGGAGGACAGGGTGCGCACGATCCAGAGGTACTACCGGGCCTACCTGCGGCGGAGGGTGCCACCCGCCCGAGAGGACGGCGAGGACGAGGAGGCAGAGGAGGGCGAGGAGGGAGAAGAGGGAGAGGAGGTCGAAGAGGAACAGAAGCTGGCCGACGAGGAGGAGGAACAAGAGAGGCGGGATCAGGCGCTCGTCCTGGCCGCCAGCACGCCCAGCGGGTACCCGCGCAGCAGCAGGGACTTCGACACGCTCTACGCGCTGGTCGAGCGCTGGCGGCAGGCCGAGACGCGCCGGCTGCAAGCGAGCTGCTCGGAGGCCGCGCGTCGCGCCATGCTCGGGGAGGTGCTCGAGCGCGAGATGACGCTACTCAACGCCATCGAGCGCCACCGTCAGGTCGTGGCCGGGGAGCGGGCCCGTGACCGGGAGCGCCGCTTCCTCGAGCGCTGCGCCGAGCCACTCGTGTTTGAGGGCAGCAACGGCGAGCCCATCCAAGTCGAGACCCTGGAGGTGGCCCGCGCCAAGGAGCTGCAGGCCGCGTACCTCAGCCTCACCCAGCAGGTGGACGACGGCGAGGTGTCGTTGTACCGCGCCCGCACTACGCACCGCACTGACCACCGCCCTGAACAGGCGCCCAAAGCGGAGCGGCTCGAGTTCCTGGTGGCGCTCATGGAGAGCCTGAAGGAGGTCGGCCTGGAGCGAGCGGAGGAGCTGCGCAGGCTGATAGGGCGCGAGTGCACGATGATGGCGCGGGGGCTGGACGCCGGGCTGGAGCCACTGCGCCGCCACATCGCGCTGCTCTTCGCCGAGCTCGTCAAGTGCCCCGAGGTGAACCCCGAGGCCACCAAGCACCTGCGCGCCAGCCGGGTAAGCTACAGGCGTGCAAGCGTGTCGGCACCATGACCAGCCCGCTGTGCAGCCTCAACGGGCACGTGCTCGGCGTGCAGGTGGCGCGCGCGGCCGACAACGCGGCGTGCACCGAGTGCCGCGCCTTCCTGCCGCTGGAGGCCTTCCCGCTGCACAGCCGGTCGCGCGCCGTGGGGCGGTGCGGCGGGTGCGTCGCGCTGCAGAACAGGGCGTGCGCGCGGCGCGACCACCGGCCCGTGCAGTACCTGCTGGCGGCCGTGCGCCGGGCCGAGCAGCGCGCCGGCGCCTACTCGAGCGTCGCCTTCATCATGCAGCCCGGCGACTTCAAGGTGCCCGACCAGGACGACGACGACGACGCCCTCCCCCTCGTCTTGGCGGCCGCCGCTCTCTGACCTGGTCCTGGTGGCGCTCTCCCCCCGGCAGGTGCTGCTCGACATGTGGCTGGGCCGGTCGGCGCTGACCGAGGACGAGGCCGCGGGGCTGTGGGGGCTCCGCCTGCCGCGGTGGCGCGCGCGCCAGGAGTGGTCGCCGTGGAACTGCGTGCTCCTCACGGCCGCCCAGGCGCGCGCGCACGCCCACCTCGGCGACCTGGACGTCGAGGACGTGTACGCGCCCGCGCTCGTGGACACCGTGCGCCGGCGGCACCTCCAGGCCAGGAGGGTCTTCGCCCGCCTCATGCAGTCCGAGAGGACCCTCAGGGCGGAGGCGACACCGCTGCTGGAAATGACCGCCTCGGACTTGGGAGCGTCTTAGCTACTCTAAACTAGATAATGCCTTAATGTATGTAGTCCTTGTTAAAAAGAATTGATTTCATTATTATTTTTAACATTACTATTACTTCTTTCACTGTTTTTTTTAACTATACTCTATGCCTACAAACTGTACCAAAGTTGTCTTTTAACCAATAATCTTTAAGTATAAAGAAATAGGAGCTGCAAACTACAATTAGCTTTGACATTATTTTGCATTCCGTATATTTTTTCTTTGTAATGCCACCTGACTTCCATTACTGAAAAGAGAGCGGAGTGACCATACAAATTATTGTTATTGATTGGTTGAAAAGTTTTCCTCACTGATTAAGCATGATAAGATGATATTCTAAGTCAGTATGTCTTTTTAACTTGTTCCAGGATCTGAAACCTGTTGCCTGGACTACAACGACAACGACCAACTCAACTCCTCTCGCCACCTCCATGCAACAGATCACGACCACACAACTGCCAAAGCAGGACACTAGCAGTAAGTACAATATTCAAGTATATGACGCCTATATATAAACCCTGCACATACCTGTAAATTTCCAGTACCGAAGTCCAGGATTTTGTCCATGTCCACACTGTTATAGACAACTATCTTGAATGGCAGGCCTTGTCCCTCATATCACTCATAAGTAGGGAAATGGCACTTGATTCTTCCAAATCGATGCAAAGCACCCACATAGGATAGGGGTGTTGCAGAAGATTGGTGGTCCACACTTCTGGTCTCTTAAAGTAGAGTCCATCCAATCCATCATTAGTTGCAGTTCAATCGAGATGATTTCACACACACACAACTTGAACTAAAGAAACACTCAGATGACAACACTGAACTCATAACTAGAAAACGAGACTGAAATGTTTTCTTTAAGTAGCTAAAAGGAGCACTCGACTTCAAATCGCAAGCGAAATACAACGCCAATGTCTCGATTTTGTCTGCTGTAGCGTTGACTGAGGTTACGGTACGGACGTGGGCTCAGGTATGAGAAACTTCCCGCTCAGCAGTGTCCGTCCGTTGGTTCAGTCGGTTCGGTTGGTTCGGTCTCGGGTCGCGGTGCGGTTCGGTGCGGTTGACTGCGTAGCTTAGAGGGAGCTCGTGCTCCTGCTTTTGATCATTCAACAACAATCAAAAAGTTGTGTCGTAACCTCTCTTTGCGTCTTTGAACGTTCTTCCGCGTGCACGATGGGGGTGAACGGCAAATCCATCTTCTACGAGGAGTGCGGTGTATATTCGGCGAGCCGGCCGCCTGCTCTTCTGCGGCTTGGGTGAGTACACTAACCTCACTACACGCGAGAGAGCCTTGCTGCGCTCAGAGACCGATGATGTTCAAGTTGCTACTCTCTGAAACATTTGGAGAGAGGGGCACGTTTTGCGATTTCAGTAGGATAAACTTGTTCTTGGCGAAGCGAACAGGGCACGGTCGTACACGTGAGGCGAACGCGCCTTCGGAACTCGGCTTTCTTCTCGGCAAAGGCCCGCGCGCCGAGCTTGACCCCCTTCTTTGAGGGGTGTGGTGTGAGGTGTCTGCATTTAGCTCGCATGGCTTCCCTTTGGGACTGGAGAGCGCGAGACAGCTGACTGTTTTCCGCTTGGAACGAGGAAATAATTGGTGCATGGAGCTGGGTATATTGAAGTGCGACGGCAGAATGGGCAGTAGCAGGGAGGGGGGGGGGAGGGGGAGGGGCACTTCGATTCGATTAGCGCATCGCGTTGTTTCCCGGGCTGTTTGGTGGATAACAAGTTCTCCTTCCCCATCCCTCCCGACCGACCGACAAGCGTGCCAGACGGTGTTTCCCGTTTCATGCAGCTCCATTCTAATTAGCTCGAAAGAGATGGAAGGCTGCTGCCGCACTGTTTCCATCGCTCGGCGCTCGCTCAAGCCTCGGGCCGCGGGGGCGGCGGCGGGACTGATGCGGACATCGTGAGAGGAGCGAGAGGGACGCCCCGGAGAACTCTATTATAGTCGGCCCACTATTACTTCACTGTTCGGAAAAGGTCACGTGGTGGGCCCGAACGCCTTCTAAGCCTATCAGAAGACTCGTCGGCGAAAACCGGAACATTACAGTAATCGTGGGACGACTACATATAGCCGGCCAGCGCGGGGGACGGCAGCCGCATCACCTGCGACACACTTCCGCCGCGCGGCCCGGTTCAGAAGGACATGAGGGGTCGGTTCTTTGGTCTTCGCGTCGTTTGATCGAAATTTTTAAACTGAAACTGAGTCACGGAGGGCCCTCGAGGAGACCAACGAGCTGAAGGTCAGCGCAGCGCGGTTCGTTGTCGGGTTGCCCCTCCTGTTAGAACGACCTGAGCCCGCCTGACCATCTGAGGTTGAGGGTGCATTCGAGTTGCCCGACCCTAGACTGAACTGTCGCCTCTCCAACTCATCTGCTGATTATCCGTGTGTCACACGACTTGCAACTGATCCAAAGCAGTGTGACTCTTTTACGGTTCAGTTCGGGCTTCGGAGGGGAGTTTGGCCCCGTGTGCAGTAGTGTGCAGTAGGACGTGTGTACCGTGCAAATCGGACGGGTAGGTGCGGATCGAGTAACCGCGAGTGTGTCTGTGTGTCTGTGTGTCTGTGTGTGTGAGTGACTCTGTGTGTGTGTGCACACACGCGTCTGTGCATGCGCTGCTACGCGGTGTCGGTCGCCCAGCTGTTCGAACCCCCTTTGGCATGCGCGCACCCAGCCTGCTCAACACGGTATAAATAAATAAAAGGGGAATAAATAAATACAAAAGCGCGGCCCTGTACGTGCTCCGCGCCCCCGCCGCAGGGCGTTACGAGCCCGCCCCGCCCTGCC